ATGCCCAGAGACTGCGGCTGTGTGCCAGCCCGCCCCAGAAAATGTTCGAGAGGCGTTTCAGGGATTACCGACAATCACAACACACACCTGGCACCAGGCTTCACCCTTAACGATCTTGTTCCAGCACCAGCGAATGTGGCCATTCTCTGCGGTCTGCTGGGCCCAGGTTGCCTCACAGCCTCTACCAAATCTCCTTCCAGCAGTGGAACCGCTTTTCCCCACGTGGCCTGAGAACCGCTCAGATCTCACTCTGCTCCTGGGGATTCGTCCTTCCCACCAAAGCACCGCCAGGTATGGAGCCGTGGAGCTGCAGCTTGTTTACAAGCTTGTTTACAGTCCCCTTGTTTACAGTCTTAATGGAATTTAAACCCTCTCCTTTCTCCCTTTTTAGTTTAGTCCCTGTGGCCGTTTCCAATTTTCCACTTTCTCTCCAGCTGTTTTTGGCAGGGAGTGCTTTTACCGTATTCTCCCCACTGTCTCCGTCCTCTCTCCACATGCAAAAGCAGCTCTCTGCCCTCCGTGGCTTCTCTCTCCCCAAGTTCTCCTCTCCGCGCCGCATACCTGCTGAATTCTGTGGTCTAGGTTGTACGTATTGTTGTGTTAATCTTCAGATCAGTTTTCTAGGTGTGCAGGACGGTTTAGTGTTGGTCTGGCTGTGTTTCATGGACGCGAGACACACAAAAAACTTCCATGCTGTTCTGCCATCTTGGTGGCCTCCTGAGTCTGCTTCTTAAGGCAGTTTTCATTTATGAGTCTTGGTAATAATGTGTGAGAGAATAAGGTTGCCATTGTTTTTCAGAATAGTACAGAAAAGTGCTGGGATGAATTTAACTACTGTCTTTCTCATTACATTTTTATAGAAGCTCAGCAGGTAAATTTCACACACGTTCTGGACATTTTTTCTTTCACAAAATTGCTTTTTTTTCAGTCCTAAAAGTGATTCTTATAAGAATCCCACCCAATCTTTATTTCCAAGAGAGACAATTTTTTGTAGCAATAGAAGGACTCCAAGTGCTTGATACAATGAGAATAAAAGAAACTCTGGACAAGGTTCTTTTGCAACACCATATGGAAAAGAGATACTTGAATATCATACAGATGACAGAGGAATTTATAAGTCTTTGGGTTACCCTAATTGGAAAGAGATAAAGGGTAACAATATGGTGGAAGAAAAGAGTAAGCAAAGATTTATGAGGAAGATTTCATTCTTCCAGGAGAGTATCAAGAATTAAAAAAGCAAACATTACGAAGAAGAGTCAACAAATTCAACTACTTTTTCTTACCTGCCTGACAATTTCCAGAGTAAACTTGCCAAAAGTAAAATACGCTTTTGTGGAAGTGTATTCTACGGGATTTTGTTTTTCTCTAGAGTTCCTACGTATAAATGGATAAAGAAAATGTGATATTTATATATGCAATGGAATATAACTCAGCCATAAAAAAGAAGGAAATCTTGCCATTTGCAACAATATGGATGGACCATGAGGGAATTATGCTAAGTGAAGTCAGTCAGAGAAAGACAAACACTGTGTGATTTTACGTACATGTAGAATCTAAAAAAGAAACCAAACTCATAGATACAGAGAACATATTGATGGTTGTCAGAGGCAGCAGATGGGGTTGGGCAAAATGGGTGAAGGGGGTCAAAAGGGACAAACTTCTAGTTATAAAATATCCCTAAGTCCTAGGGATATGATGTACAGCATGGTGACTAGAGTTAACAATGCCGTATTAGATATTTGAAAGTTGCTAAGAGAATAGATCTTGAACCTAACATAACACGAATCACTGAATTCTACTACCAATATTGCACTACATGGTGACTAACTAGAAGTTTTTAAAAAATAAACAGATAAAGAGCACTACATTAAAGAACCTACACACACACACACACACACACACACACACACAGAAACATTTATGTTAACTACACTGCAATTAAAATAAAAAAGTAAAAGTTCTTGTCACTAGAAAAAAACTTCCGTGTAGTGATCGACATTAACTAGACTTACCGGGGGACCATTTCACAATATATACAGATATCAAATCATTATGTTGTTCATCTGAAACTAATGTTATCTATGAATTATATCTCAACTAAGGAAAAAGTTATCACACACCTGTTACTCGAAGTTTATCTGTACCAACCACAACTTCCTTTTCATCGACAGTAAAGAGTGGCTTGCCATCCTTGGAGTTGATCTGGAAGTGTTGACTCTGGACCTCTACCATTTTGGGACCTGCACGATTCATTAAAACAGTTTGTTATGAAGTGTTTACTATACGTAGTGTCAAAATCTCTTTTTACACAGGCCACATCACCCAGCAATACCAAATTACTAAATATACAAAATCCATTACCAACAGTATTTTTTAAAAATTTTGTGATTAAACTTTTTACGTTCTGAGCCTAAGTCTATGATATTATCAAAATTAATTTATGTCGAATACATGCTAATCTACAAAGCACAAATGTATGGAGGTGCTGAATCACTCACTAGGTTGTACACCTGACCCAAAGGTAGCCCTGTTTGTCAACTATACTCAAATTAAAAAAAAAAAAATTAAAAAGAACAAGAAAGCGTTAATCTATGTCACATAAAAGAATAAATCATTTAAAAGTGAAGTTTTTCAAGTTAAAACTAGCCAAAAATAACTAATTTGTCTACTCAGTTTATGTAAATTTGTAATCTTCTGAGTATTAGCCAACTAAGGATTTTATATTCTGAAACGTGAGGTTTGCGAAAGACCATTTTTATCTAATGTTTACTTTTGAGAGAGAGCGTGAGCGGGGGAAGGGCAGAGAGAGGGGGACAGAGGATCCAAAG